GTTCCACAGAGGTGGGGCAGCAACAGTGTGCAAGTGTACAGGTGATATTTATTGTGTAATACCCGTGATGGCTTTATTTAAATGCCAAACACAGCTCCCACAGAGGGCTCATAACCGGGGCAGCAGGTGTTACACCATAAACCTGAACCCACACAAACCACTCAGCTCTGCAGCGCCGAAATATAACCGCCCCGGAAAGCGATTTTGTCCAAACTGAGACAAGTTCACCATGAAGAGTCAGCGGGGTCATCGCAGGAAATCTTGGGGCGCAAGATGTGGAAGGAAGAAGTAGAAGAAGAAACAACTCCGGGTCACGTGATTGGGTCGAGCATCTTTTTTTTGGTCCATTTTGGAAGATAGCAGGAGCTCCGTGCGACCCAAGAAAATGACCAAACTGCAGTTTTTAAACGTCTTTTTGACTGAGCGTCTCATGCTTGCTGCGCAGGAGATCTACAAATCTGTCGAGGACACGATTCTGGAGTACCAGGAGGAGATCGCGATCCGGGAGCGGGAGAACGACCATCTGAGACGCAGACTGCGAGACGCTGGGATTGAAATATGGCCAGGTTAGCTCCGCTGAAAGCTAACGGTGCAGTTGCGCCCCTTTATGTCCCTTTTAGCCGAGTGTGTCGGGTGGCATTGGGTAGTTAAATGGAAATAACCGCGTACAGGACCGGTGTAACAACACATTAAGTAGCCTCGGGGTAATGTTACCACACTTCCAAGCAAGTTAACTTTAGCTGTTAGCGACATAGTTGACGTTAGCTGCCGTTGTTGTGGAGCGGCTAGCGCGTTAGCAACCTTTGTTCGTTAGCCCATCAGCTAGGCTAGCCGTCGAGCTACACCCGGTTTAGCACCAAAGCTATAAGTTACGTGAATACGTGTGTGCATTTTGTGCCGACTCGTGATTTATTGACAGGAGTGGATACAGGTAAACACTGACAGAACGAACGCACACTCTTCACCTGTTGTGTCGGTGTTTGTGTTTGTTTACTCCAAACTTAAAACTCCGTGTCCTCCTCACTGACCCGTGGCTCGAAGTGCTGCCACTGTTTATAATGAGTGGCAATATGTCACTTAGTCTTCATGTCAGTCCATTTGTAGATATTACATACACTTGACATGGGTGCAGTTACAGCCGCTGTGAATTAATGTTAAACAACACTTAAAGTCCGATAGGGTAAATACAGGCATCACATACAGTATTATATACAGTATTATATACAGTATTATAGACTAATAAAGACATACTCTCACTGTTTTATAGCAGTGTAAAATACATCAACTCAGAGTGTCTATTGTTGTGGTCATTATTATGTAACCACATTGATCATAAAGCCAGGTCTGTCGGGAAACGCTGGTATTACACTGTACGTTGACCATCTCAGTTAGAATTTAGACATGTTGTGTAGTTTATATATAACTATTAAAACCGTTTCTGTTAGTTTTAGTCAGCAAGGTAGTGAGTTAAGCTCTTTGCATGGTTGATGTATAAAGTTAAAGGGGTGTTTCACAGAAGAAAACTGGCTCTGCCATAGCTTTAAAGTCTCTCCCCCTTGTTTTCAACTTCAGATACGTTGATAACCAAGTGCATTTTGATATTTAAACACAACTTTCAGAAGCAAACTCTGAGTGCAACGTGCCATATGGCGTTCGTAGTCCACTAACATTGAATTATGCCAAGGACACAGTTGTGTTTGCAGCAATGTGGTTGATGTTTTCATCCGAGCCTCTTCCTCCTGTTGTGCTCTCAGATCGTCCGTCTATGGCACTGTTGGACGAGGAGGACGGTGAGCATCCACGCCGCGAGTGGAGTCCTAGCATGGGGCACGAAGAGCGTATCCCCATTCAGATTAAGGATAAACGAGATCTCCGGACCAACCAAGGAGATGACCAGCTTCGGGGCCACGGCTCTTGCAGCACACCGGAGAACATGTTCACTCCCCCGCGTGTTGGAAATGAATATCCCCAGGAAGCCCCCCACACATCCAACCTCCCGCAGAGTCAAGGAGTGGAGAACCGGGAGCGGGACCCTGGATCGCGAGGCTCTTCGAGGCATGTGAAAGTAGAAAGTGCAGGAGGCCACAGAGGCTCTACTTCCTCTAACAGTGGTGCCCAGCCCCTCGCGCCAGTCAACCCTAACTGCTCAAATGAGAACAACATTGACATTATCGGGGTGGAGAATGGAGGACAGATGGTTGGTGCTAAGGGTGCTGGAACTGGAGCTAACAGAGGACAGCAGACCTCTCATATGCGCAACCAAGGAGCCAACGCCGTAGACTGCCCCCATCAAAAATCCCCCCTACAAGGACACATGTCGTCCTTTTGCTGCAAGGTTTGTGGCGAGGCGTTCAGTCACGTTGGCCACCTGCATGTGCACGTACAAGTGCACACGCGAGAGAAACCGTACCGCTGTGGAGTGTGCGGGAAATGCTGCAGCTCCTCCGGCAGACTCCAGGAGCACCAGCGTAGCCACACAGGAGAAAAGCCGTTCCGCTGCCAGATTTGTGGAAAGGGCTTCACGCAGATGGCTCACCTGAAGGTACACATGAGGATCCACACTGGGGAGAAGCCGTACAGTTGCCCTGTGTGCGGCAAATGCTTCAGCCGTTCTGACAAAATCAAAAGGCATCTCCAGACCCATAGCCGCGAGGGAACGTATTTCTCAGGGCAATGATGCAAGTGTGTTGTTAAACAACCCAGTTTGTGAATCATATTGATGTGGGGAACTTTCCTACAAAAAGCTAAAATTGCTGCCATTAGGACAAGGCTTTTTTTCTACTTTCCAAGAACTAGGGATTCTGCAACTCTTAGAGAAAGTTTCTTATCTAACCTAATACTTCTCCACGCCATAGTCCCTCAATAGAATTTGTATTAGCCAGTTTAGTATGTCATTTACTTAATTTTGTATTTGTCACTGAGTATTAAACCTCTAAGACACAATTTGAGTTATTAGCTAGCCTTTCTGAATTATCTAGCCTTTCCTTAGTCATATAATTAGCATGATGAAGTCTTCCACACATGCCTTGAAACTGAGATGCATTAAGAAATGCAACATTGTGCAGCACGGTCACAGCTCATCATCACTTCATATCCATAACTTGAGTTTTGAAATGTACAGACTTGACATCTGTCTCGTAATAACTATTGAAGGACCTAACACGAAGAGTCAGTGTTTGCATTAAAATGGTTCATTTGGTTAATTAACTAGAGAATTGACAGCCTGACCAATTAAGCCTGCGCATCATCTGTCTTCTAACACTGCCAGCAGTTTATTTGTTCTTACGTAGCAATATAAAAAGTGACAGAGAAATCTACCGAAATGACGATGACGACTTGACTTGACTTGCAAGGATACGGTTTGATTTGGCACTTCTCTCCTTTTTACTCATTATTTTAACTTTTCTTCTGAGTGCTGTTACATTGTTGCAAAGCTAAATACTGCCATCTCACATCGTCAGTGCTCCGTGTTGTCCATTGAAATATGGACAGATCTATTGTGAAACTGCTCCACTATTTTGTGAAATAATGTGATATTCTGTAAAATACCACTAATCTCGATCTGCCACGCATTTAGGAATTTTGTGGTGTCTTTTTCTTTTTCAATGACATGCACTATGGCATCTGTCTAAGACGATGCAAAAAATTCACTCTATAATAGGGCCATACAGTATTATCTGAATCGTTTTTCAGGGGTCTCAGTCTGCAAAGATTTACGTTCACTCATGTTTCCACTACAATAGTCCTTCACATGTGAGGTACTTCAGGGGTGGCCTCAGTTGTGGTTTATCATAGAATCAGGTTCTTCCGCTGCCCATCTTGAACTGACACCCTGAACAGTAGACCCTACAGTTACCTTTCTCCTCTCAGGACTAATGCTGCATTCATAACATGAGGGCATACCAGAAATATTAATGTCTGACTTGAAACAGCCATTATAAAAGTCAGAATCTCAGGGTACGTGAGTTTTCCCGTGGGGGTTGACCCTGCTTGTTGC